CTTAGGTACCATACGTGAAAATCAGCCGGAACGACTCTGCCATACCTGCACTGCTTCAACAAATTTGGAAGTCAAAAACCTCCCTAACGTGGCAAACAACTGCTAAATACTGACTTTGAATACCTTCAACAGTTTCTTTCAGCGGTTCGACAAATTCTTCAAAGTCCATGTCGATCAGAGCATCGTATATGTCGCTGGCCATCAAAGTCTTCCGTTTTGCTTTGATAGAGTAAGTGTTTGCCCTAAAATATTGAAGTTACGAATATGGAAAAGCCATAAAATATGCAAATATTTTTTTGAAGCCAGTCTGGCTCATTCACTTAGGATAACCGGCCTCGAAATAAACTTCAGAAGGAAAAACCGGAAGGCGCCGGTTTGAATTTCACATATTACGAATGTTAAATTAACGCCTGAATGTCGTTCAAGATGACGATGAAAGAACACCGCCCAAGCATACCTGTCTGAACAAGACGGAGACCTGAGAGAATTCACTAAACCAATAGCACTGCGCCGTCAATTGCCAATTCGAAGAAATAAAGGCAAAAATGACAAAAGAGATGCGCAAACGAAAAATATCCTACTGCAGATTTTAAATGAATGCACTTTTGATGACAAAGTTATGGTCTGAAGTATCGGTAATACTTTTCAAACTAGAGCGGGCTTTTTAGGAAAAGTTTAAAGGGATCTAGACACCGGGTTTGAATTAAAGTTTACAACTATCAGTTTATTTAAAGAGAATTTCATTAAACTAATTATTTAAACATATTAGTTGGGGATTGAAAGAGTACACAGCCACTGCTAAATCCGCAACAGCCTGGCATCTCGATGCGACCAGAAATCTGCTGATAGCGTCAAACATGGTGCAGTTGTCGTTTCGTTTTATTAGACGACGAGCCCTGTTTTGGTGCCGGGAATCGTGACTTTTTTGGGTGTGTTCTGAATGTTTTCGGTATTAGATCGAAAGGCTAGAAAATTCCGGTATCCAAATGCAGTTGTAAACTTTGCAAGAACACTGATAATCTTTCACTTCTTTCGTTCATAATATCTTAATGATATTAAATATTGTGCCATAGCGTTTAGAAACCTTGTGCTGCAACGAGTTCCAGAGGAGTCAGCAGTAATTCCAATATGGGAAAGAAGGAAATAAATAAGCTTAAAAGGCTGTTTTCATTAGAAACGAAAATGCAAAATACTTAAAACATATCATTATGGTGAGAGAATCATTCATATTTTAAAGCATATAGATTATGTGATTCCATAACACCAACGGCCGGTGACAACGACGAAAACATTCGCAACGTAGACCGAGGTACGGCGGGTGTAGCATATTCATTGGTAATCGCAGAACCAGTCTTTCATGTCGCTGTGTGAAACATGGCGATGGAGCTAAGCCAGTCGAGTTTTGAGACTTCAGGCGTCTGGAAATTATATTAAGTTACCGCTGAAAGCGCGAGTACATGCGTTTCGATTAACTTATTTGCATATACATATACATACAATCACTTTACTCTGAAGACGGACCGGCTTGATCCGAAAAGTCAAATGTCCCCAATTAAAGTATACTGATGCACCATTCGATGCTCGAAGAAGGTGTTCATAATAGCAGCCTGTTGTTTGCACAAAACCGTAAAAACTTCATGCCGTTATTGTTGAGGTAGCTAGGGCCGTTTTTTCCAATCACACCTTTACACTTTTCAGCGTCTACTCCGACATGCGCACTGAAATCGCCCATGAGTATGAGGGGATCCGTGTTCGCACTTCGTACAGAGCATACCCCACTTCCTCAAGGAAGGAGTCATATTCCCCCTCGAAATTGGGACATGTATAGACCTCTAGCATATACGCATAGACCTGAAACAAGGTCAGTGCTTCAGCCTGTTGTAGCATCAGTCAGATGACTGCCACCCTTTCGCTGATAGGCTTCCATTCAATGATTCTATCAGCGAGGGTGAGTTCTACAAGAACACCTACACCGATCTGAGAGCGCGTCGTGATGTCGACACCTGAGTAGAATAGCTTCCACCAGCAGAGGTTCAGGATTCCAGAGCCTTGCATTTTCGTTGACGAGAGTCCAACTATGTCAAACTGGAACCTAGCCGCATCATCAACTAGCGCCTGCTCTTTCCCTCGGAGTATGGATATGTTTCAATTTCAGACTTTATGCTCCCACTGTCGGTATTGTTCCCGTGAAGCCTTTCCTGACATGCCATAATGGTATTGCGCTGTCTGCCTCCTACGTTCAAAACGGGTAACGAACCCGTTGCTGCTTGATATCTTCGCCCTCTTGCGGATGATCGATATTTATGCTGAATGGCGCACAACTCATTCAAGACTAAAATTCACTACGCATTCCACCGCCCATATACATATGATAGTACCGTGGCTCAGAATGTGTATCCCTCATCTGCTTTGATGCCCCATAGGCAACCATAAGCTAATGAATGATTAAGGTCGTGACACAAGGACGTGGAGGATACATACGCTGCTTAATATACTCTGGCTTACGAACATACATGGATGCTTAAGGAAAAAGAAGATACCACGATACTGGAGTAAGAGAAATCAGTAATATGAGTTATGCTACGCGAATAATCTTTCCATAAACCAGAGATTATTTTAAACCGATGTACTGGTGGCAAAGATTTTGAAGCACATAGATGCTCTTCACGGTGGCAAATCATATTTTAAGAGAGCTATAAAGAGTTATAAAGAACCTGACGTTGACAGCTGAAAATAGGCATTAGCTCAGTTTCAAAATGAGGCAGCTCCTGGAGAAGCTCCAAATTCCATTTCATCTGACCTTTAATGTCAACTGGAAAGACTGCCAAGCACCAGCTATAGGTAAATTCCAGTATAATTTTTGGTAGTTATTCGATTTTCAGTTTCTGTATCTTTAAGGTTTCTGGGTGAGCATCATCGCTTGTAATAATATATTTGGAATATATCAATTTGAAAATTAGGCAAGTATATGCCCATTACTTTGAAAGGTGAAACTTGAAAGTTTAAGGCCACTGCCAATGAAACAGGGATTAAATCATAACTATACTGATGAATTTCTATTACTATTTGATTATATTTCTGGTAGTTAGCATGATCAAGTACAGAAGTACTCTATTCTCTTGCGTACACGAATGTAATTAGTAGATGTGAAGATTAAAAAAGTGGCTAGCCATGAAAATTCAAATGGCTGAGTATAAAATCTGCATTGAAACAGAAGCTTCTCGTTGAGGAACCGAAGCAATCCAACGCGACTGCGGTCTACCGTTACGTATCATACAAGAACAAATAATATACCGGTAGACTTGAGTTCATACAAAACTGCACCTGCTACGATACTGTAGGCAATGCCATATAGCAAATGTATTGGGAGAGCTAAAAATACAGCGGATATAGCGAGCAGAAGCCGTTCTTATTATTTAAACGACTCAAATTGATTATCACAAAAAACAAACACATGACTCTGACAGGCCGTCACGGCTTTGCCAAAGTCTATGTATCATCCTACCGTATCAGGCTTCGTAACTGCTCTTCACCAACAAGGCAGATTCTGAAAACAGAAACCCTTATTACACAGCAGCTCGTCAAGAGGTAGCCAGCTTTGGCGACTGCTCATCTTTCGAGATGAGGACGAGGATAGATCTCGAGCAAACTCTTAACAAAAGGACATTTTTGCCAAAAAGTTATCAACTGAAGAGACAACAAGCCTTTGCGACAGGTTATTCGAGGACCCTACCCTTCGCCATGGTGACGGTCACCGTGCAATGATCCAC